CGCCACCACCCCCGCCGCCGCCTCCGCCGCCGCCCCCGCCGCCCGCGCCCGGCCCCGCCGCCAGCGCCCCGAGCAGCTCCAGCCCGCCCGCGGCCGCGACCTGGGCGCCACAGGCGCTGCTGCGGGAGACGACCTTGATGACGTCAGCGGCCTCGGCGCGCACATCTGGGTTGTCGCTGCGCAGCAGCGCCACCAGCTGCTGCACCGCGCCGGGGACGCCGCCGAGCTCAGACTGAAGCTCCGGCTTGTCTGCGCCGATGAAGTAGAGCGCGACCAGGCAGCGCCGGACGAGGCTCGCGTCCGCATGCCCCAGCAGCGACACGATCGGCCGCAGCCCGCCGGCCGCGACGATCTCCGCCGCGGCCTCGTCGTTCCTCGCGAGCCGCCCGAGCGCCCGCATCGCGCCCTTTTTGCACACGAGCAGCGGGCAGCCCGCGAGCAGCGCGACGAGCGCGGCGGGCGCGCCGCGCTCGCGCATCTGCGCCAGCGCCTCGTCGATGCTCGTGAGGCTGCTGAGCGTGTAGGCCGCGTACATGCGGGCGTGGTCGGTGCCGCTGGACAGGAGCTCCGTCAGGTGCGCGACGACGCCCGCCGCGGTCGCGCGCTGCCGCGCCGCGTCGGACTCGGCGGTGAGGTTGAACAGCGCCTCTGCCGCCACCGCGCGCTGCTCGGGGCCGCCGCACGCGAGCGTGTCGAGGAGTTGCGGGAAGCAGACCTCGTTATGCAGCGAGCATGCGGGGTCGCCGTTGCCGGTGGTGCGGGGGTTGCTGCTGAGGTCGGCCTTCGCAGACACCAGGTTGAGCGCCGCGAGCGCAGCCGCTCCCTGCCCCGCTGCGGCGGCGGCGCCGCTGCCGCCGGCGCCGGCCCGGCCGCCCTCGAGCAGGGCGCCGGCGGCGCCGCTCATGGCCCACTCAGAGCCATGGGAGGACGCCGGCAGGACGGAGAGGCAGCGGGACTGGACGCCGTCGACAGAGGCGATGCGCAGGGCGCCGTCGGGGCCGGCCGTCTGCTGCTTGCTGCCGCCCCCCTCCTGGCCGAAGAACTTGCGGATCTTGTCCGTTAGCTTCAGCTTGCGCCCCGGCGCCTTAATCATCATGTGCCAGCCCGGGTCTGTGCAGCATCGCGGTGGCGCGGCCAGCAGAGCAGATGCTCAGTTTAATTGCGCGCGGCGTCGGCGCCATGTGGACTGACAGCGCAGCAGCGGCTGCACACAGCCGCGGCACCTCACAGCTGCGCAATCAGAGCGTATACTTGCACGTTTCCACCACTTTGCAGAGCAATTACTCGCCCTTTGAGGCCCACTGCAGCTGCTGCGCCTTCTATATTCCTCGCTGCCACGCTGGCTTGGCCTGTAGCCTGGTCAGCAGCTTCAAGTCATCTTCAGCAAGCGATCGGACCCCCCCCTGGGTCGCGTTGCTGGCTCTGGAGCACTACCAGCGGTTGGGTTCTGCCGGCTGCCTCTCTGTAGCTGCGCAGTAATAGATTAACTTAATTCGGCTATGATCGATACGTTTGACATTGACTGCCGAATACGTCGTGGGCAACCTGAACAGTAACCTCCCTGTGCTGCTCGCATACGAATTCCAGGGGCCTGGCCTTCACGGGCCTTGGGAAATGGATATATTACTTGCCTTGCATTGCCGATTCAGCTTACGAACACAAAGGGATGTACCGACGTGACGGCCCGCCGGTACGTCACGCCATGCATGCAGTTGCATACACTGCATGCCAGGGGGTTGCGTTCGGTCGCAGCTGCAAAAATGGCGCATGTATCCCTCGCCTCTGTTGATGGAGGTGGGTTGTGTTATAGACTCGTGGCTGCCATCCCTTGATCAGGTGCAGGGTCATTGCGCGGGCTTCTCCAAACAGTGCAGGGTGGGTTGTGTCATTGTGGAGGCGCACGGGGCCGCCGCCTTGCAGCGACTCTGTGCAACGAAGGAGCTGCAAACATGGTGAATTGTGTGACCGGCCATGCATGCAAACAAAGCGCTGCTTCAGCCCTCGGATGTGGAATCGCAAGGGACGTTGGTGCCAGCTCTGGGCTGCAGCTCTTCCACGCCCCTCTGAGGTTCTGATGCAGTGTTTCTCGACTGCATGCACCTCACAACCAGGCAGCTGTTGAGTTTTGCTGTTAGACTTCTGGGATGTTTCACTGCTGGCCACGTTGCTGTGCAACAAAGTGACATCATCTACAACATGTGCGTGCCCTTTGCACTGCAAAATTCTCTGTTACAATCTGATGGCTGCGGCGGGCGTGTCCAGCGCGTTCTTGCCGTTGACCTCGGACACGTCCACAGCCACGCTGCCGACGTCGACCCGGACGCTGCCCGCCGCGTTGCCCGCCACCTTATTATCAAAGAGCCGCGCCGTGCAGCCGTCCTGCGGCGGGGCCGGGCGCGGCGCGGGGTGATCCGTCTCGTATCCGCACGCGTCGGGCGGCCGGCGGGGGCGGGTGCGCCGCGGAAGCGGGTGTGCCGCCAAAGCCCATGCCACGAGCTAGCTCTTATCCCGGACCTCAATGGCTGGGCAGCGCCAGTGAGGTTGTCAAGCCTGCAGAGGGGGCGCCCACCGCCAAGCGAGCGCGCCCACGCGCCCACAGGCCACGGGGGCCGAGCACCCACCAGCAACGCCACGCCATACTCCCCGTTGTCCACGACCGTGTTGTCCCGCAGCACCGCGTTGCCGCCGTCCCGCACAAACACGCCCGACAGCTTGTTGCTCTTGATCGCGCAGCCCATCACCAGGCAGCGCCCTGGAGCGCCTGATGGGCATGACAGGGTCCCGCACGCACAGCAGCCGCGGGCGGCGGGGCGGGTTTGCCGAGCTCAGGGTATGCAGGCCGTGAGCTGTGCCAGCGGCGAATCTGCAGGCAGCGGCGCGCTCAAAGCAGGGCAGCGTGAAAAGCCCCCCGCGGCGCCCCCGCTGCATCGAGCCTTGCGCGGCGCTCACCCTCGAAGCCGCCGAACGCCGCGACGCCGTGGCGCTCGCAGTTGTGGACCTGGGAGTCCTTGAGCTGCAGCGTCGCGCCCTCCACGCCCACGCCGTTGCCCGAGCTGCTGCTGACGTCACACGCCTCCAACACCAGGCTGCTGCCCGCCTGGGCGGGCGGGACGGGGCGTCCGGCCGATTCAGATTCAAGACAGAGTTGATTCAGGGTGCCGCCAGGCATTGAGGAAGGCGTCCGAGCACCACCCCCTCATCATCTGCCCCCTCTCGGACGCAACGCCTGCTGCAATAGACGTCGCTCGCCACAACAAGCTCACACTGCTCACGCACCCCACGAGCCGTCCATGCCAGGCCGGCCCGCCCCTCACGCTTGCACGGCGGTGGCCGCGAACCATTCGCCGCCTCCCGCCGCCCAGGCTCGCCGGTTGCGACGCGTCCCCCTTTCCTGGCCCCCGCCACGGCTCACCCCTACGAAGACGCAATAATTCTGAGCGACGCTGGGGCTGCGGTGCCGCAGCAGCATGCCGCGCACGACCACGGCCCCCTGCGTGTTCTTACACTCGAGGGTGTGCTCGTACGGCCTGGAGCTCTCCCATACGACCTCCACGCTGCCCGCCTGCAATACATAGGGTCAGCGAGGGCGCAGACATGGCGCTCGGCAACGCTCGAGGCGGGCGTTTTTATGCATGCTGTGCGTGCTGGGAATTGGGCGGGGCTGCCGCTTGCCGGCGCCCGGCGCCGGCGTGCTGCGCAGAGCCTCGCCGCGGCCGTGCTGACGCATCGGGGACGGGGCGCGGTTTCACCGTCTGCGTGTGGCAAGGGGGGCTCCCGCCACACCTGTGCAGCCTGAATTGTGACGAACTTGCCGTCCAGCGTTATCCGCTCCTCGTACCGGCCGGGCAGCACTGTGATGATGCCGCCCTGCTCGGCTGCTGCGATCGCCTCGTTGATGGTCGCAAACTTGCCGCCCGACTGGGCGGGGCCAACAAGGATTGCCGCCTCTGCGCGCGCCGGCTGCAGCTGCTGCGCGGCCCACGCCGCAGAGGTCACCAGCCCTGCTTGCAGCAGATGCCGCCGTGCAAGCGGCGTCGGGCTTGTGGAGCATTCGCTGCCGCTCGCGCTTGCCCCGGCACAAGGGTACCGACCGCCACGTGCGGCGGTGTGTGGCGCGCGAGGCACAGCATGGGAGTTGCTGCTGCTGGCCGTCCGATTGCGAGCTAAAAATCGGGACGTTCGGAATCCATTGGCTGCCTGGACTGAGGGGTGCATGGCCGGGCCGAGCTCTCCGAGTTGTGTAGGAGGGGCCCTCCCCTGTAGGGCGGCCTGTAAATCTCAGAGGACGAAGGGCAATTACGGAATACACCAACGCAATCGCAGCCGTGCATTGGTGGGCCCCGGCCTCCTCGCTGGTTCGGGCGGGTATCAGCGGTGTGGATCACTCATCACCGCCAGTGCCGAAACCTTTGAACTGTAACTGGCTTGCACAGCAAGCCTTGACCGCACCGTAATATAGCTCATATGTTCCATTACCACGTGTAGAGATCCGCCCATCCATGTGCGCTGCAAAGCCGCGCTGTTGGGTAGCCTGATCTGGTGGTGACGCCGCCCACGCACTTCACGGCGGCGGCCGCTGCGCACGTCCGCCCCGCGAGCTCCACCAGCACAACTCACAGGATCCACGATGTCGGAGGCGCGCCCGACGCCCAGCGGCAGCGGGCAGCTGCCGCGAGCAGCGCAGAGCGACGACCAGGCGGGGTACGATGACCGCGCGCAGCCGTGGCGATTCTTGGCACTATCGAGGGCGTACGGCCCCTCGCGCGCCTTCCAGGTCGCTACAAAGCTGGGCCTGTTCGAGGTCCTGCGGGCGCACCAGCAGCTGAGCGGTGAGGGGCGGTGACCCGCCGGCCACCCTCCCGCCGCAGTTGGCTGCTTGGAGTTCGCATGGACGCATGCGCAGCACATTTCCCCCTGGCCGTGGTTTAGCCAGGGCCCCTTGCGACCCCTCCACCTCCCCCCCGCCGCACGCGGATCGCCGCACCCGAACCGCAACGCACGAAACGCTGCGCACGCAGGCGGCCAGGGGATGGCGGTGGCGGAAGTAGCGCGCGCGCTGGGGCTGCGCGCAGACCCTGGGTTCAGGGGGGTGGCAGACCTCCTTGACCTGCTAGTGGCTGAGGAGTGCCTGGCGCGCCAGGGTGGGCAATGCCAGCGCTGCTCCTGTTGCTGCTACTGTCCCAGCAGCTGATCCCGCTCCCGTCGCTGCTGCTTGCGTCGCCGCTTCTGCTGCTGGTGGATGGTGCCTTCAAAACGGACGCTTTGGCTCCGAGGCCGCCGCTGCTGCCGCAGCCGGCGCCGGAAGCTGGCTGCTTCTTGCTGAGAGTGTGGTTTGGCCAGCCCACATCACGCATGAGCCCAAGCAAATGGCCGGCACACATCCTGTCGCAACCAACCTGCATATGTGACACGTGCAGGCGACGGCCCCAGAGCGCTCTACAGCAACACGCCAGACGGAGAGCGCTACCTCTGCCCCGGCAGCCGCGACTACATCGGCGGCCTCGTAATCATCAACTGCGACAGGTGGGGCCGCTGGTGGGCGCGGTGGCCTGCATCAACTGGCTTGCGCAGCGCGTCCGGCCCGCAGCTCTTGCGCTGCTCGCTCCAGGCGGCGACCCGCGGCCGGCTCCCACCCCGCGGGGGCGTCCACCAACCTGACGGCCTGACCTTTGAAGCCCTGCTCGCGCGCACGCCGCAGGAGCTACCCCCAGTTTTTGTTCTTGGAGGACTCGCTGCGCACGGGCGTGCAGCCCCAGGCCGCGCAGGCATTGGTGCCCGACATCCTCGAGACATTCGGCGGCGACGGCGGCGATGCAGGCGCACCAGCGCGCTTCGCCGCCGGCATGACGGGCGCAAACTTGGGTGCGAGGAGGGTTGCTGCTGTTGGCGCCCGGGACGTGAGAGGATTCCCTGCGTCGCTTCAATTGTGGCAGCTCAACTTCAGAACAGGAACTAATTCTGCCGACCAATCTTCAAACCACATGCAATGCCCACACTGCAAATTCCTCCCAACTGACTACCATTTACACCCCATCCCGTTGCTAGAAGCTTCTGTCCCTCATCCCTCCTCCTGCCCTCAAAAACACCCCTTCACAGCCACATTTGTCGCATTTGCATCAAAGTTTGACTTTTCAAGCCACGCCACACTCCTGGACATCGGCGGCTCCGCCGGCACGCTGAGCTGCGCCGTGGCGGCCGCGCAGCCCCACATGCGCTGCGTCAGCGCTGACCTGCCAGTGCTCAGGGGCGCGGCCACCGCAGAGGTTGCGCGGTGGGGTCTGGGCGGGGGCCGCGTGCGCTTTGAGGCGCTTGACTTTTTCGCCGAGGCGCCCTTCCCGGCCGCTGACGTCATCACCATGTCCATGATCCTCCACGACTGTGAGTCGCTGGCGACGGCGGGCCCCGCACCCCCCCTCGGATCATTTGCATGTGGGCTTTCTTGCCGCGGCTTGACGTGCGTGGCAAAGCAAAACCCAGCATGTCGACCCACGGGGTTGGCGTGCTGGCTGGGGTGACATGCCATGATTTACAAGGCGGGAGAATAGGAGCTTGCCACGCGCCTGCAGGTGCCAGGACCCGGCACGCACCGCGACTCACTGGCCCGCATCCGACCCGTGTGCTGCTGCCCACTGCTGTGCGGCGCTGATTCGCGGCTCGTCCCTCTGCGCCCTACAGGGGGCCTCGAAAAGAAGCTGCTTTTGATGCGCAAGGTGGGTGCCTTGGTTCGTGGCGCGCTGGCTGGTTAGGGTTTTGCAGGCGGTTGGCGCGTTGGTGACGCCGGTTTACACGGTGGCTCCGTCCATTGTGCGAGGCTGAAGCTCTGGGGGTGTGCGTCCTGCGGGCAGGGCGCCGCGTGCGCACAAACGGCTCGTCCGCCCGGCTGCTTTGAGCTGGACAGCCTGCCGGCTTCATCGAGGCACCATTGTTCGTAAACAGATGAGCGCGCGTGAAAACAACAACGCATCTTTGGGGGGCGGGGGTGCAAGTGCAAACGGGCGAGAGCCAGCAAGCACCTATCTTGGTGCAACACAGAATGACACGCGTGCTAGCAGCTACCCCCCGCAAAAGTCAAGCATTGAAGAATTCCAAAAAGCCTCCTGCGCTGCCGCCTGCGCCCCATGCCTCCACCAGCGCCGGCCCGTCGCGCCCCCAACACACCGCCGCGCCCGCGTCCCAACTCGCAGGCCTTTGCAGCGCTACCGCCAGGCGGCGCGTTTGTGGCGCTCGACCTCATCATTGATGACGCGCGGCGCGCCAACCGCTGGGGCCTCTTCATGAGCCTCAACATGCTGGCAGAGTTTGGGGAGGAGGGCAGCTTTGACTACACCTTTAGAGACTTCCAAGGGTGGGCGTCCGAGGTTGGGTTCGGCCGGACGGAGCTGCTGCGCCTAGGGGGGCCGGCGAGCGCCGCGGTCGCGTATAAAGACGGATGACAGGGCGGCGTTTGTGGCCTGAAACATGATGCGAAAGGCCTCACTTGAAACCCCTGAGGCGGTGCGCCTGCATGAACGGCCAGCTTTGGGCCGCTGCTGTTTGTGGGGCGGGCGTTGCTGGCTGCCAGGTGGGCGGTGTTGCCGTGGAGGCCGCAGTGCGTGCAGCCAGGGGAGAAAGGAAAGGCCCCAAGCTAAGCGGACATGCAGAGAAGGCGCAACTGCAGGCTCTGGGAGCAGCAAGCGTGGATCGATCGCGCGTGCAACAAATGACAGCGAAAGAGCCGCCCTCAAGCACGTCGCCGCATGGAGGTGCCGCGCAGCAACAAGGTCCGCGGCGTGCGGACCCAGCAGCTCTTCAGGGCGGCCCAGGGCCGCCGCCCTGTGGCCGCCGAGGATCTAGAGAACCTGAAACTGCACGGCTGGGATTTGGACGAGCGCGCGAGACCCAACCCATGCGCCGGCCGCCTCAGAAGCCGCCCGATGTCAGGCCCGACGACGGCCCGCCCCCGAGCAATATGTCCCTGGCCAGCTGCACGGCAGTCGCCAGGTCCTCAGCCGACAGCTTCCCGTCCGAGTCCGCGAGCTTGTCCACCCGGTTGAAAATATAGCGCTTCGTGCCCTCCCCCTCGGGCCCGATGTCGCCCAGGACGGCCTGCCACTCCGCCGCGTCGACGGTGCCGTTGTTATTGCGGTCGAACGCCTGCGCGGGGAGTGGTTTCCGTGGGGGAGGGTTCGGTGCGGGGTGGGGTTTGGGTGGGGTCAGAACAGGGGGGAGTGCTGGGCGAGGCGCGCTTGCCCGAACTGCTCGACTGCAGGGGCGTGCCGCGCGCCCCAGATCGGTGCCATCGCCCTTGCAGCGGCGCTGCCTTCGCCCCCGTCAGCCCCGCGGGGCCTGTGCCCCTGCAAGCCCCTTC